TTGTTGTTTGCTGTGGTAATATGTACGGGAATGATAGCATATTTTTATTTCAGTAGATAAGTTGGCAAAATACTAGTGCCTTAGAGACCTTAGAGGCCTTCCACTAGTGCCTTAGAGACCAACAAGGTTTTCAGAGTATAAACGTCTGGGAGTCAAAGCTCCCTTTGTCAAAAGCTCCCTGACTGTCAAAATCTTATACTCTGAACGTCTTGTTGGCCTCTGAGGTGTTACTGGACTCGACTCTACCTGCTCTGCTGTAGACCAGCATGGCTACTCTCTGAAACTGTGGCAAAACACACACCTATATGGTCATTATATGTAAGTATATAGATTGCCCGCACAAAGAAGCATACAATTTCTCTTGATTACCCTACAGCTCTCCCATTCTTCCCTCAAGCTGCTCCTGTGGGTCCCCCCCCCTCCCCTGGAGCAGCATCTAATAATAATTTAGTTATGCTAATATAAGCTTTTGGGAAGTGCGAGATACCTGGAGTCCAAATAAAATAAAGCTTCTAGTGAACCCTTCAGCATCGGCTAGCAGTGTATCAGGCCTTTCCAGACAGAAGTCCCAGACAGCTTATTAGGAGATCTTGTGTACGAATGAAATGATACATTTGCGTAAGCATACGCAGGCATGTGGTCAAGCAGGGACCCGTGCATAGGTGATTCTTCCGTCTCCAGGTGACCCCTCTGCTTTGCAAACATTTCCCATATCTACGGTTGTAATCCTTTGTCTAGTACTTTTCCAGGTTCCACCTTCTCTAGCAGTTTTTCTTGCTGATCACAGTGGAATTAGCCTTGTGCTGCCTGCTTCATTGCAGTCTGTAGTCTAGACACAAAGAAGTGGTATCATTGATAGGGAGGGTGAATTTGGCTTCTTTTCAAAGGAGAATGGCACTGAAGCTTACTGGTGGGCAATTATACCCCAAGGGAAAGGAGAATAAAAAGCCATGCCTTTATTTATCTGTGTTAGTCAGACTTTAATGTCTAGTTTGAGTCTTTTGCTCCAACTTTGATGGATCTAGTGCCGTAGGAGGAGTAGGTGGCACAGCTGTTGCTGTATAATTATCTGTGCTTGGATTGCAAATTTGGAAGAGTTTCTTTGTCCCCAGCCTGAGAGCTGATTTTCCCAACAGCTTATGATACAAGGCAATGTGTCTGGGGACTAATTGGGACACTTCTTATTTGTTTAAATGATACAAATTGTTGGGAGCATCAAGACAGCACTTGGATCTTTGTTTTTTAAAATTTCCTGGTGAAATGGCTGGCATTGTTCTGTGTTCATCTTCCTTTGATAGGGTCACATTAATGGATGGATGAAAGTGAACTCAGCACATCTAAAAAGATCCAGCATTTTGGGCTGAATTCAGTGAAGAAACTAGAACTTCATTGCTATGTTATGTATTTGTGCAAAATTATTGGGTGGTAGTTGTCACAGGTGTAGGCTGCAAGTCATTGGCATGTGACTGGTACAGTTCTGCTTGAAACCCTTGGATAATGGGCAAGCCAGCCCAAAGTGCCTCTAATAGGCTACAAGTAACTCAAGTGGCTCAAGTGGTTAAGATGCTGAACTGCAGGCTGTGGAAGGTCGGTAGTTCAGCAGTTCGAGACCTGAGTGCCGCATGACGGAGTGAGCTCCCGTCTCTAGTTCCAGCTCCTGCCAACCTAGCAGTTCGAAAGCAAGAAATTGCAAGTAGATAAACAGGTACCACTTCGGTGGGAAGGTAACAGCGTTCCGTGCGCCTTGGTGTTTGGTCATGCCGGCCACATGACCACGGAAACGTCTTCGGACAGCGCTGGCTCTTTGGCTTTGAAACGGAGATGAGCACCGCAACCCTAGAGTCGGACTCGACTGGCTTTCGAGCAAGGGAACCTTTACCTTTACCTAACCACGAAACAAGATCTTTTCCAAAACAAGGTTTTGAATGTATTGAGGGAAATGCAGGCGTGCGGAAATTGAAAAGATACTCAAGCATAAGAACAGTGCAGTTGTGTTTGGAAGGGTGTGTACATGAAGAGTCATAGGAGAGGAGAGAAAGAGAAAGTAAAATAGAGCCACCCAGGAATGGCCACAAAGAGAAGTGAATGAGAGAGAAGGGTGAGTTTAAAGAAGGGGAAAGGAGAGTGTTCTAAGAGAGAAGGAGCGAGCAGACGAGGGGTTCACCTATCCTCAGTCTGCTGGGTAGAGTCTGTTGTCTGTTTAGATGATCCAGGGCAGGGGTCTCCAGCGTGGTGCCCATGGGTGGGTGCTGTGATGCCTGCTGATGCCTTCTCTGGCTCTCCCATCAAGTATTTTAGGACGTGGGTGGGGCCAGGTAGGGCTGTGCAGATTTTTTAAAATGTTGCTTTGGCAGCAGCTGCCACCTCAGCACAAGTACCCACACTGTTACTGAAGTTAAGCTGTGGCAATCATTTGATGGCTGGCTCTGCCTCCTGCAGCAGCCATTTCATAGCAGCCGCTTTGTTGCTGCACCCACCGTGCCGTGTCAGAATTCCAGATGTGCCTAAAAGCTCAAAAGGGTTGGGAACTCCTGATCCAGGGAATCAGTGTGGGAGACCTTTAGGCCCTTCCAAGGGTCCCAAGCAGCGCTCCCTCTAAGCTGAGTTAGTGTGAGCTAGCTCACAGTTTTTTAGTCTCCGGCTCACACCTTTTTGTCTTAGCTCAGGAAGGAGAGCTCCAGAGCAAACTGATTTATTCTGCAGCCAAATCACACACTCACAACTTTAATGCCAGTAGCTTCGCAAAGTAGAATTTTTGCTCACAAGACTCCACAGCTTAGAAGGAGCATTGGTCCCAAGGAAGTAGTAAGACGATTTGCTGGTTCCAGAAGAGTAGAGTTGCCAGAGGGGGAGGACTGCACAATTTTGCTTGGCAGAACAGCAGTAGCCTGCACTGGCCCACAGCTATGTTGGGCCATTCTGGGGCCACGCTGCCTCATGCAACAGCCCCGCCCCACAAGTCCTGCTGCTAGAAACCCTATTTTTAAAATATTTATTCAGGAAAGTCTCAGCGTGATGTCCACTGTGCCCTGCCCGCAGGCTGATTTGGTGTGGTGGTTAAGTGCGCGGACTCTAATCTGGGAGAGCTGGGTTTGATTCCCAGCTCTCTCTTGCAGCTGCTTGATGACCTTGGGCAAGCCATCATTCTGAAAAAGAGCAGTTTCTGCCAGAGGTCTCTCAGCCCCACCTACTTCACAGGGTGTCTGTTGTGGGGAGGAGAAGGGAAAGGAGTTTGTAAGCCACTCTGAGACTACGAGTGAAGGGCGGAGTATAAATCCAATCTCCTCTTCTTCTGATTTTCTGTGTCTTTTCCTGGCACCTGTGACCTTGCCAGCTCTTCCTCCCTACCTGTGTATGCGCCACGGAGGAGCCCGCCTTGCCAGCCATGAGGCTGAAGCAGGCAGTGGGCAGTTTCCCCCTGTGCAGGCAGGCTGGGACTGGCACATTGCCTCAGCTGGCGGAGGGAAGGAGTGGAGCGGACAGAAGGAGAAATCAGCCTCTCCCCCGCTGCTAGTGCCTTCGCCGCCACCTTCACTACTGCTCTCAGGGGCTTGCTGGACACACCACCAGCCTCCTCATCACCTGCCCACCGCAAGGCAGAGATGGGAGCCAAAGAAGAGCCGCTGTATTTCCTGCTACAGCCAGCTGGCACAAAGTGGATGGGACCTACTTCACTCAGTAAAAAAAGTCCTTCTCCTTTGAGGCAGCAGAAATCGTGCCTCAACTGGGGAGGGAGAATTGGGGAAGTTGCAGCTTCCTCCCCTCGTGCCCTCTCCCTCTCTCCTCCCTGCCCCCCAGATTTCCCAACACCCCACTAACCAGAATTCCCTGGCTACAGGCCTGAGCCTGCACAAAAGAATACGAAATAAATGGTTGTAAACTCTAGGAATTCAGGATGAGTCCAGGAATCTGAGAGTTTCCCCGACTTGGATTGAGTTAGAAAGGGGCGCTTCCCAGAAAGGTAACAAAAGGTGATTGCACTTAGGCAGAGTGGACAAAAGGGCTTGCAAGGCTGAGGCCGGCACTCATGCCTGAGGCAGGTTGGGAGGAGACATTCAGACAAGGCCAGGAAAGGTAATCAAGCCCACCTGGTTGCTGGATAGTAATTAGATTTTGTACTCAGGACGAATTGCCCTTGCTGATGGAATTACACTGATAGATCTAGGTGGGTGCCTGGCTTTCCAAGCTCCCCCCCCCGTGGCAATGGGTAGACATGCAGATGGTCCCATCAGCGAATCAGTCTCCCGACACTCGTTTTGGCCACTCGTTAGCATAGCCTGAGCAGTGCCTTGGCCTTCCCTTCTTCAAACCATGACTTTGCTAGCTTCTAAAATGGCTGCAGGAGCAAATTTAGCCAAGATGGGAGTCAGAGCTGACCATACAAATCGGGGGGAGGGGGCGTCCTTGCTGACAGCAGAATTATGTTGTTTTTAAAATGGCTGGAGACTCTGAAGGGGATAAATATAAGATCTTTGCTTAATTTAGACTGTAGACCTCTCTTTCCGGCTCCTGAAGTCTAAGAACCACTGACTTCAGCTAGATGATGGAGAGGTCTGCCTTTATTGTACATATCCTTCAGAGGCAACCTGCAGACCTTGGAAATAGATACCATCTGCCCTCAATCTTTCCAGAGCGCAGAGTGTACCTCTTGTTTGGGGAAACTAATACAAACGGTACAGTTTGCTAACTTTGAATTCTTATGATGATCACGTTCAAGGTAGTGGTAATGGATGAACAACCTCAGAGCAGATATTCCCTCCTCCCCAGCTTTTATTTTTTTCTCCTTTGGGAATGGGGCAAGAGTGGGTGTTGGACTTTGTCACTCACTGTAATTATAGTTAAGTGCCCTTCATTGATCTGGAGTTTTCCTCCGAGTGTGCCACTGATGCAACTCGCAATGCGGGGGGCGGGGGGGGGCGTGTCACTATATAATGCTTCCCTGCAGAACCAGCTCAAGTAATAGAAGGAGAGCAGTCCTACAGCAGCAGTGTCACATCCAGAAAGACCTCAGGCCATGGACACAGCAGCAGCCCAGAGAGGGAACATTGAGTTAACGGGGGCTATGGTTTCTACTGTTGCTTCCCCTGCAGGCACGATGTCTGCCAGGAGGCTACGCAGTGAAGACTACAACGACTACAGTTCGACGGAAGCTTCTCCTGATAGCGGCCCCCCAGAGGGCTTAAGTGGCTTTTCCTCCCCATCGTCCTACCAGCGGTTTGGAGAAGCAGATGGGACGACGTAAGCATTTTTGTTCAGCATTCATGTATCCTAGCACATGAACTGTCTCCTCCTAGCTGGGGTGTGTGTGTGTGTGTGGGGGGGGGATAGGCAGGCTGCCTGCATCATGTAAGTGCATTTCAGGATATAATTATAAAAGAGCTAATGACCATTCGTGTATGATTGAACTTAGCTGATTTCAGTTGGGGGTAAGCATAACCATGCCCCCATATCCTTTATAGTGGCAAGTTTCAGATAATCTAGGTCTGTAACTGGAACTTTGTCTGGTTCCTTATTCCCATGGATGCAGTCATGCATTTTTTCTGTTATCCCTTCACATTATTTCCCCCAGGCTGTTCTGAACATGGATAACTTGTTCCTTGCCCACACTTGGTGTACTGAGACAGACCAAAATAACCATGGTTTGCATGCTCTCAGTTTATATCTTGGATTGCTTGAAGCCCCCTGTTCCTGACCTGTAGCGGTTATGTTTAGGAGACATTTAGGTTTTGCTGAAGCAAAAAAAGATATGATGAATTCATGGTTTGCTTCTAGGAAAAATGATGTTTCCAGATCTTAAAATGTGTTGTTTCTTAATCCTTCCTTTAAATCAAATATTTTTTTCTCCCTTTAAAAAAACAGCGAACGTCTGCTGTAGATTAGTATGTTCTCATAGTACGTTCTTATTATATTGGACATCTGTTTGAGAAGTCCTTTGCTTGATGATTTTTTTTGTTGACTCCCCCCCCCCCCCAGATGGTTTCAAACCTTAATACACCTCTTGAAAGGGAACATCGGCACAGGCTTGCTGGGGCTCCCGTTAGCTGTGAAAAATGCTGGTATTGTGGTAAGTTGTCTGCTGCTGAATTTAATATATTACAAATGTTGGTGTAAGGCAGTCATTCTTGGTTGCTTCTTATAGAAACTGATCTTGTTAGCTGGTTTCATCAACCCTGTGTATTCCTCTATGCTAAGGAATGACAGCTTGTGCTGATGGTTCAGGGAAGCTGTTAGAAGGAAAATGAGTTTCCCACCCCTAGCTGCCCGAGTAATTGTAAAATGTGACCATCTAATGATTGGCATCCAATAGGCTACTCTTTGAACTCTTGGTCAGCCTGAAACCATAAGGGAGTGACAAGGAGGCCTAAGTTAAGGCATGGGCCATTTCTCCCCATCACTGTGTCCCTCCATGGGGTCTGTTTCTGCTCATCAGGCAGGCAGAGATCTGGAGTATGTGTCCATACATGCAAGTATGGGGAGAAGGAATCCCCATTTATGGGAGTTGACTTGGCTTGCTTTGAAAGCTGCTCCAGTGACCTACTTCAGTCTAGGATGCAAGCAACACGGGAGCAAACTGTTAGAAAACATAGAATCATAGATTTAGAAGGTACCTCCGGGGTCATCTAGTCCAACCCTCTGCACAATGCAGGAAATTCACAAATATCTCGCCCTACACCCCCCCCCCCCGTGACCGCAGTTCCACACCCAGAAGATGACAAAAAACCCAACCCTGCAGGATCTCCAACCAAACTGGCCTGGAGAAAAAATTGCTTCCTGACCCCAAAGCATGTGCTAAGTGCTGTCTAAGCAAAAAGAAGGCAGCAGTTGCAGAGCTACTTTACATTTCCCAGCACTACGTTAATAACACATAAGCTAAAGATAGCTTCAGTGTCCTCTCCTTTCTTTGCTTATAGTAAGTTCTAACCAAACCCAGTAACTAACTACAAGGAAGTTCATGTTTTGTCCTTTACACAACATCAGTCCAGCTCAGCTTATTAAACAATGTATCTGTCATCCATGTAATTATTTCATAGGACAGAGGTATGTAGGTCATAACTTCAGGGCACTTCCTGAAGCTAGCGGCACACAGTGTCTTCACTTTCTAGCACGGATGTTATACTGTACCGGGTTCTCTGGGGACATGTACTCAAGATCACATAAGCTACAATTAGGCAATGTTAGATCAAAACAAAAGCATTTAGCTACAAACTGGTAGCCTATTTTAAATAATAATAATTACCTTTCAGTACTTTGGGTGTGTAAAGCTGCCATCGAGTCACAGCCATTGGGTTTTCAAGGCAAGAGACCAACAGAGTTGGTTTGCCATTGTCTTCTTCTGTGTAGCAACCCTGGCATTCCTTGGAGGTCTCCCATCCAAATACTGACCAGGGCCAACCCTGCTTAGCTTCTGAGATCTGATGAGATTGGGCTAGCCCGGACCACCAAGACGGGGCCTTTCAATACTAGGTGCTGTAAATAGAGTTATAGTAAATAATCCCTGACCACAGGCTTCCAAGCTGGCAAACAAGGTGATTTGGAAATGGAATAGAATAAAAAGAGGCAGCTTTAGAGGGTTACAAGAAAAGGTATGGGCATCATCTAGCCAAACTTAAGCTTTTTGACATTTGATTGATATTGAGAGCTAAGCATGTGCTAAAGTTGGGATGACAGATTCATGAAGGTGGAAAAAGGTGTGTCAGAAGACTCAAGGTTCTGGACTTTGAGAACAAGGGGGTGAACTGAGTGGGTTTTATGCAAACTAAATGCAAAGCAACATCAAGATGCCAAAATGGCAACGAGATGAGATTATAGAGGACACAGAGATGAAAACAAGGATCTTTGGTTTTTTGCAGGGTGTCTGTTTCTAGACCTTTGATAAAATGTTTGGTTTTACCAAAACAAATATTGCATTTCTTATTTTGGCCATAAGAGTGTGCTCTTAATCCTCTTCCCCTTTTCACGTTATTTAGATGGGCCCTATCAGTTTGTTTGTGATTGGAATAATCGCTGTGCACTGTATGCATATCCTGGTGAAGTGTGCCCATCATTTCTGCAACAAGTAAGACAAAAATACCTAACTCTTGCTGTTCTGCAAAGGAAGTGGCCCTAGTTTCCTTGGCAGCATCCCTCTCCTTTCTGTCTTCCGCACCTCCAGTCTTTGAGCAGATGTCAAACTCAATAGTTAGTCTTATCCTTCTAGAGCACCATGCTTTCATTTTCTCTTGCACCAAACCTGTGGGATAGGGATGGAAAATGACCTGTTTATTGGGGGAATTGAGGTGGACAGGTGGCAGCTTGCACCAAACCGGTGAGATAGGGATGAGAAATGACTTATTTATTAGGGAAATTGCGGTTGAGAGATGGCAGCTTGCCCAAGGACATCCACAGCTGGTCTTTAAGCCAAGCATTTCTAATGCGCTGTACATTGGACTATGATGTGTTTACGTGCAACACCTACCAGAATGGTCACTTGCAGTGTCCCCTCTAAGCTGAGTTAGTGTGAGCTAGCTCACAGTTTTTTAGCCTCTGACTCACAGATTTTTGTCTCAGCTCAGGAGGGATGGCTCCAAACAAACTAATTTATGCAGTAGCCAAATCACTTGCTCACAGCTTTAATGCCAGTAGCTCACAAAGTAGATTTTTTGCTCACAAGACTCCACAGCTTAGAGGGAACATTGGTCACTTGTACTGTCTGATCTACATGCATGTGAGCTTAACCCCCCCCCCTCATTTTATCCACTTTCCTGAGTGAGAGGGGAAGACTTCATTGCATGCAAAGGAAAAAGGCAATGCAGTGCCGATGGCACCTTGTTCCCTTGTTAAAGACAACTGAATGCCTTGTACAGCAGCAGGCAGCCTTCTGGACCTTGGCCACAATTTTAAAGATACTCCCCCACCCCGAACCGTAATGCTGTCCCAGTAGCTGTAGGCACACGATGGTGTTGCAAGTTTGTCTAGCTCAGATTCAGACATCAGATTCAAACTACCATCTCCACCTTGAGTGCATGTGAAATGACTGGGGAGTATTTGTAGAGCCTCGGAGCTCTTGAATATCTTGCCTAGGTTAAGCAGGAGAAATAGTGGCGATTTAACATGGTGCAGAAAAATAACAGAAATGTATCTATGTAATGGTGCCTTTGTTGCAACACAATGTGCTTTCTCTCCCAACGAATGATTTTGCAGCAAGCAGATCGAAAAATTCAGATGTGCTTTTTTCCGCCCCTCTCTCCAGACACCAAAAACCCTTTGTGGATTATGGGGATGCTGTGATGCATGGTCTGGAAGCCAGCCCCAGTGCCTGGCTCAGGAATCACTCCATCTGGGGAAGGTACATGTCTTTTTACATTTGGGGAACTATGGTCTGGTTGAGTGGTGTAAGTAGGCTGTGTAAGTAAAGAGAGTTTTAAATGGAAAAGTGGGATGTAGATTTTATAAAATAAGAGCTGATTTGGATTGTTACAGATAGCAGTGGAGCAAATGAGTTTCAGTTGAAGGGCCACCCTAGTCAAGCTGGCAGGAGATCTTTTTATAAAAATTCAACGCAGTGCAAGGTGCGTGTGCTGTTCCTTGTAGGGCAGACAGCAGGATTTTTTTTCAAGGGAGGAAGGCATTTAAATCAGAAAAGGGTTAAATCTTCTCTCTCTCTCTAGCCTTTTCCCCGACATGATTCAAAATTCCTAGTGGTTGCCTTAAACTAAAAGAAAGAAAAAATTAGAACCAGGTCACGTGTCTCCACCTTCTTGTCAAGTTTGACGGCAAAGATAAAGATCTTTAGATAATCACAAGACTCTGTCTGATTTCGGGGATGGGGAGCGCCCACTCCCAACTGGTATGTTTAGCATGGGGTCAGCATACATGGAACCAGCATATCACTTCTGTGAATTGGACAGACAACTAACTATGGTTGATAAGATATACCGTGCTTGTTGCAGGTTCTTGCTGTGCAAAGAACTTGACTAGGTCCTTAAGGCATTGATATGCCAACTTGATAAATGTAGTGTCGAAGAGCAGTATTTGTAAGCTTTTTGAATTGCCCTCTTGTTCCTAACCTTTTAGCGGTGTTTGCCAGCATGGCTTCAAATTTTGGGAACCACAAGGACTAGAAGTATTAAGTGAAGTTGTACTGCTTAGAGGCAACACTACTGAAATTTAAGCTGGAGTGTTTCAGACATGCTGAATTGTTATGATGACTTCAGTCTATAAATGGCATATCTTTTATTCTTTTCAGGCATATAGTGGGGTTTTTCTTGATTCTCACTCAGCTGGGGTTCTGCTGTGTGTATTTTGTATTTCTAGCTGACAATCTGAAACAGGTAAGATTTAATACGATGTTATTTTAAGGGTAGCATTAGGTGATGCTTCAAGAATGTAAGAATTCTCACAGTTTCAGCATCCCCATAACTGATGTAACCAACAGAAAAATCTTAAAATGGATAGAGAAAGTCTTATTTGTATATCTAGAGTTGTCCTTGCTAGCACAAAACTCTGTTATTATTTTTCTTGGGACACTTCAGTGGATTAGGTTTGATACCCTGTTGTATCTGGGTTGTGTTTGTATATGTTTTAGCCTAGATTAAGATGAGGGCCTTCTTCTGATGTACAGTGCCTTACAGAGGATGTAAATAAAGTGCTGGAAAGGTAATCCCTTAAAAACAAATTACCACTGTATACAGAATGTATGAATATGGGAAAAGTAATGTGTATGATCTATGATCTGATGTTAGCATGCAGTTTTCGGGAGCTGCATGCTTAGGATGGATGACTTGGGGGCTGATCTGTAAATAATAGTTATCTGTTACATGTCCAGAGGTAATCCCAGATTGTTCAGAAACCTCCTATATTTTAGTAAAATCCAAAGGATCCAGAGATGGGGGAGAAATGGCAATATTGCTCTTGGTCATTTGCTTTTTGTACGGGATAGAAGCTAGCCTTCATGTCATTGTGATTACTTTGTGCTGAGGTTGTGCCCACATGCATTTCTGCTACTTGCAAAGTTTCTCACAATTTATGATTAAAAATGTAAAAAGTATGTAATTTACAGTGTGATCCAGAGTTACTCCATTGATTTCAACAAGTTTAGACTGTAGTAACTCAGCACAGGACTGCCCTGTAAGCACTCTTTGAGAATACTAGGTCCGTGAAGCAAAGCAGATCTCTATTTCAGGACATGTTTTATTGAACAGCATAGTACTGTTTTAATCACAGTGACCTGGGGGTATGTATGATCCAGTCAATGTGAAAATTGAGTGATTGTGCTTTTTGGCTTCTCATCTTTCAGCTTGCTTGAAAAATTATTTAATGGGTTTTAACATTTTTAAAAATTCAGTTTAATGCAACACCCACTGGATGTAAGACTCCTACTGTGTATTTCACACAGACCCCAAACCCTCTTTTACTATGATACAGGCATAGCAAACCCCAAATCTTCTTATACTATGGAGACACAGCTGGAGTTAACCTGCAAACTCTTGATTGCACTTAGAGAGAACCTAGGTATAACAGCTGAGTGACTTTGTCTCCTCATGCTACTCTCCAGCCCACTTAGCTGTAAATGGTTTCCTACAGCTCTAAAGAATCAAAAGGTAGCTGTGCTATCTGTCAATATTGCTTCCTTTTGAACTTCAGGACACAGACTCTTTTCATCTCACCCAATGGCTTTAGCTTGACTTTTTGAAACTCACTAAAGTGCATGCCTTCCTTTTCATTGATCAGGACTTTGAATTCCACTTCAGAATCATAATGCAGCAGTGAGTGCAGCTCTCTAGTAAAAAGCCTTGTCCAGAAACTAGTATAGCTGGGCACCAGTGTTCCCTCTAAGCTGAGTTAGTGTGAGCTAGCTCACAGTTTTTTAGCCTCTAGCTCACAGATTTTTGCCTTAGCTCAGGAAGGAGGGCTCCAGAGCAAACTGATTTATGCAGCAGCCAAGTCACTTGCTCACAACTTTAATGTCAGTAGCTCACAAAGTAGAACTTTTGCTCACAAGACCCCACAGCTTAGAGGGAGCATTGCTGGGCACCCTATTCAGTTTGCATGCTAGGTGTGTCTGCAAATGTGCTTGTCACTCTCCTGGACAAGAAACAGCAGAGGTAGTTTTGTAACAAAAGAGGCAGACAAACTGCTCTTTGTGGTGTTGTAAACTAATAACTGCTTACTTGCTTAAACAAACTTGGATCCTCTTCAACAGGATTTCCAGTGTTACTGTGCATCTAATAGGGATCTTGATGCAGTGAATAGAATCTGTATTACAAGTATTTGTAGTCCTAGAATAATCTGTGGTCAAATTCTGGCTTATAGTAGGCATGGCAATCAAACAAAGAACTAGCCGTATTCAGAAGGGTTTTTTTTTTCTTGACTTCCTCTTAGGTGGTATCTGCTGCCAATGCTACAACCAGCTCCTGCGATGGCAACGAAACCATGGTGTTGGCTCCCACCATGGACTCCCGGTTATACATCTTGTCCTTGTTGCCATTTGTGGTACTGTTAGTCTTCATCCAGAACCTCAAGTTCCTTTCCATTTTCTCTATGCTGGCCAATCTTGCCATGATCTGCAGTCTGCTAATGATATACCAGTATATTGTCAGGGTACGTACAACATTCATGATAGCAATGGTAACACATTAGATGGACTTCTTTCAGAATTTTCCTGTGGTGCCATTGCAGGTGGCTGTCTGCCCTCTTGGTTTGTCTCCCTGTTGCACCTTCACTCAGCTGAAAAGGGCTTGCTTAATGTTCCTTCTTACGGGCAAGTCAGATTGGTCACTGTCTGCTCTAGAACAATTTTAGTGATGGCCTCCAAAATAGCTTCAGAAATGTCCCCTTGTTGCTGCTTTTTAGAAGGCTATGTAAAGGCAGCGTTATTTAGGCAGACAGTCATATGAAAAGCTGTTCTTGTGGGTGTCTTTGGTTTATATTAGGATTCTCTGTGTTCAGATGTTCTACAGTTATTGCTGTGGGTTTTTAAAAATTTAGGCTTTTAATATTGTACCCCTTTTCGAGTCCTGTTGGGAATAAGGCAGGTTAAAAATGACAGAAACAAATATGGTCCATCAGTGGGTAGCTTTAAATGTTAGATTCTTATTTTAAAGGTCCCAATCTGGAGCAAGGGGCTTCCACGCAAGAATCCTGAAACTTAAGGGTCAGGAGCCGTATAGATCTTTAGGCCATGAAAGGGTTTGCCATAGGTTCGCCACCACTGCTTTAGGCCATGAAAGGGTCGTGTATTAATGCAGCACAGGGATGGTGAACCCGTAACACCAGTTCTACAAGTGGCAGAGGTGTTAAGGCAAGACTTTCTCAGAACAGGTAGGTTTTGAAAAGGAACTTGAAGGATAAGATGGTGGAGTTCTTGGCACAGTGTGCAGCAAGAAAGAATAGACATAGTAGTTAAGAGAACACTTGGGGGACTTTGGGTGTGGCGAAATTGAAGGAACAAAGATTACATTTCAAGACAAGGGTAAAGGGTTTCTGCTGGCTGTGGAAGGGAGAGGAGCCCAGTGAAGGGATTTCAGAAGCACACTGCATAGGCTGGACAGGGACAGAAGTGAGTTGTTCTCAATAGAAGACTGAAATATGACAAAGAAAAGACAGTGAGAAAAAGGTTGCAGTGGCTGAGGAGGGGTCAGCCAGGGGATCTGTATTTTAGTTCATAAGAACCACGTGTTCACAGTGTTATGCAGGGAGAAACGGCATCATTCGGCAATAGAGTGAATATGGGTAGCAGGGAAGAATACAATATTTCAGACTTGTTTTATGGTATGCTTGGCCAAAATATTGGCCATTGACAGTATCACAAGACTACTGTGAGTATGGTATTGAGCACAAAGGGAAAACATATGAGATGCCGCATAAGCAGCTACTGTGGTGCTGATTGGCTTCTGCTTACAGTAGTTCACCAGTGTTCATATTCAATATGAGTAGCTTCCAGTTCCAAGTATCTTGATACTTTGTTTCCTTTGCTGTCACATCTAAGTTTCTTTTGTTTCTTTCTCCATTGTCAGGGCATTCCAGACCCTAGCTCCCTGACTCTTGTGGCTCAGTGGAAGACATACCCTCTGTTTTTTGGCACTGCGGTCTTTGCTTTTGAAGGCATTGGAGTGGTAAGTCTTGGCCCTAAGTAAGATGGGCCAACTTTGCTAGAAGCAGCATTAGAGTGTAATTGCATTAGGGCTCTCTTCAGTAGCTCTTTCTTGGTCGGCAGTGAATACAGCAACACTTGGTTATCCATCTGATGAGTCATCTGTGAGACTGATGATCCTGTGTAACTATTTCTATACGAAACTTTCCTCCTGCATCTGTTCCAGACTTCCAAGGTATATTCCTTTTGTGGTATATTGCCGAACAAATGTCTTGCGCGAGCATCAGTCCAGTAATGCCTGAGCGCTCTGAGATCAAACACTTTTTCAGATTGGCTTTTGTAGCATAAAATCATTATATAAAACTGGTTTTTCAGCACAGAGCAGTGGTGTGGGCGAGCAGCCTTCCCTGAACAGCATTGTTCTGCTGCCTCATTGGAGGGAAGGATAAAAATAGAAATGTTTGATCTATCCTGTTTTTTCTCTCTGGTAATTTCTCTCTGTTATCTTGCACTGACTTAGATTGAATTTGCAGTACTGATAGCTTTCTGGACTGCAGATACAATTCTGAGATGGATTAGTTGTAGAAGCGTAGCGTCTAATACAGGGAAAGCAATAGTACACCTATATTTGACACTGGTTAGGTCTCACCCAGAGTACTGGGTTCCATTCCAGTTGTCATATTGTGAAGAACATAGACAAATTGGTAAAGACAGCGAGAAAGATGCTCAAGGGTTTAAAGTATAATGCACATTTTTGTTTTGTACTTGTCTGAGGAAGCGAGGACTGACTTGCAAAAGTCTATGCTGGAATAAATTTGGTTATCCTTAAAGGTGTCACTTGATTTCCATTTCACTTTGCAACAGCAGACCAACAGCTACCATCATGAAATTAAACATCAGTTCTTGAATGACCTCAGTGTTTTGGGTTGAGAGTAGGAAGCTGAAAACTCTTAAAAGAAATAGTTTTCTTCCAGCATTGAAATTGTGACCTCAAAGTAAACTGTTTTATTGCAAAGGAACTTTAGGAACAGAAGGGAAAGGGAAATAGCTGAATTACAAGTTATTACAACACACGGAACAAGCACCCCGCCAGAACTTAACAGGGATATTGGTTTCTTATCCCATTACATATGCTAACTCATTCAGTCCTCACATATGTATTCTCACCAAGAAGGGCTATACATCCCCTATATTTTGACGTTTTTTCTTTTTTTAAAAGAATAGTATATTATAATAGTGATTGCAATGCAATATCTTGTTGATCTCTGATACAACACTGTACCCCAGGAAAAGGATTCTGTCAGTTAACTCCATGTTTTAGTGAAGCAAAATGTTATTACTACTCTTAAAAATTAAGAATATAATTGAATTTGGAATGCAATTTGGAATGGTAGATTTAAATGTAGTTCTCTGTTTTGGGGACAAGGAAAATACTCTACACAGCCAAGATGCTGTTAAGTTTGCCTCCATGCTGGAAAGGAGATGGATGGGGGTCTAAGGCCGGGATTCTCACAAATTAGGACACATCTGTTTCCAGTTCTGACACATTTATGTTGTTTTCCCCCCAACTGAACCCAAACAGATGATAACCAGAAACCGAGCTTGTCATTCTTTTGATCTGTTAAAAACAATCTTCACTATTTTGCATGCTGTTTTAACAAGCCACCGCTATATATACAACTCTGATATGTAACTCTGTTTCATTGTGTGACGAAGTGTGCGTGCACACGAAAGCTCATGCCTTGAATAAAACTTTGTTGGTTTTAAAGGTGCCCCTGGACTCTTAACTTTGTTCTACATGTTCACAAGTGTAAGAACAGTGGAGCAGTGAAGGCAGCCGACTTGCACAGGTGCAGAGTCTCCTGCTCTGGAGATTAAGGCAGCAGGGGATAAACGGTCTCAGATACGCCTCAGTCCCAAAGTGCAAGAGTCTGCATGTCACAGGGTTGCTCTGAGTATGCAAGTACTCTGTCAACCCCCAACCCCCCCCAAAGAAATCAATAGCTTTAACGGGTTACGCAAGCTCAGGAAATGTGTGGCTGTCTCCTGTCTGAAATGGCATTACCTTTAAAGCCTGGGACCATCATACCTGTGGGACTGCCTCTCCCCATATGAGTCCTGGAGAGCTCTATGCTCTTCCG